CACAATTGGCGCCAGGGACCGCTCGGCATTGCTCCCAATTGGAAGAACCTGCTGTCGTGCAGGAATTTCTGTTAAGGGGATAAAATGTCCTAGATGTCCGGCGAAGGAACTGAAAATCGGGGGACTGGTTGGGAGGGCGATAAGACTATGTACACTTGAGCCCTCGTTGAACGATGTCATGGCAAGTTATTCTTCTGGATATGTACGGTGGGCGCCTGCGGCCGCTCGGCATTGCTCCCAATTGGAAGAACCTGCTGTCGTGCAGGAATTTCTGTTAAGGGGATAAAATGTCGTAGATGTCCTGCGCTCCTTGACCTCATTCACCGGTCATATTCATGAACATGTGCCGACCTGACCTACAATAAAGCTAAGCTACATCTGCGACTTGTTCCGTAGTTTAACCGTAATCCGAATTGACCTGCGTTAAACGACACTACACAATTCCATCACCCAGTGGTTGAAGACCGGTGACGTGAAACCGTATATGCGGTACGTTGAGAATTAGGCAACATCCCTTCCGGAAAAATATGTCCTCTCAAGTTGTCAAGGCAATGGTCAAAATTGTCTAAAACGAATTAGGCACAAATAGCCTATTGTCGATTCTCCTGCAAAGTTAGATCACATCCTCATGGAGGTGATGGATCAGAGGAGTCAACGCATTATCCACATCTCGAAAAACCTCATAGAACCGGTAATAGCTCACCCCAGTAACTGACGCGAACTTGTGACAAATGAGAAAATGGGGGTGTGACTTGTGACGATCAGTGCGCGAACACGATATCAGTCGGCATACCTGAATACATTTCGCGTAGCGATGTCGGCGAAGTAATCGCTGGTAAGCGATCCTCTATCCGTTTTTGCCGTAACAATAAATTGGTTCGACTACGGGTTATCTACGGTAGCCGCTTGCTCTTGGTCGGGCCTTTAGACTACGTAGACATTCGGCCCAGCTGTGATTCGAGGACACCACAGGCACCTCCTCTAGACCAGTGGCAACGCCAAACCACCTTCCTAAGCTTGTCTATCGGATTAATTGGCTTGTCGAAATGCTCAATCAACTCGAAAGTAGATTAATGTCTTTTGCAGGCCCGAATAAACGCTTTAACAAAATATGCAAGATGTTCCTGCGTCACGCAGACATCTCATTCAGAAACCAATTAACTCATTTACAAAAGCGGCTAATGATTTCCAAAGACCAAACGTTGAAGGAACAAGTACGACATACACGAAACAAAACTCAGCTCCTTCGACATAACAAATTTTACTAGTGGAAAATTATGGCAGGCAAAGGGAGCAGCAGTGGTGAGGATTGGCATTGATAGCGAGGAGAGAGGTCAAGTCTAGTTACTCCTGGATGAGGCCGAGGGCGCTGTAGAACCACTCAAGTGCTCGGACAAAGTTCTCCTGAGAGGCCGCGGGACTCTCCAGTGGGTGTGACTCGGTGGGGAAACGCAGGGTCTGCAGCATCGCCTCGCCCGCCTTCTGTCCCAAGTGCGCGCGCAATGTGCGCATGAAGCCAATCCCCTGCGCGACACAAAACCAGATAAGAGACACTCAACAGACAAGACAACCAGACCTAACAGCTAACACTCGCCATGCATTTGCTCCCAGTCAAGGGAGATTGAATTCTGCGACAAGCGGTGAATGAGAAAAAGGCCCTGATTGATAATTTAAAATTCTACGGAGACATGGCTTGAGAGGTCAGCCCACAATTCACAAACCTCTATGGGACCTCATACAAAATCTCTTTACGAATACTAGTGATCGTTGCTGAACACACAGTTATAGTTCAAATTCACTATTAAAGCGGACATACACGCCCCGCGTACCTGCTCGTTCGGCACCCGTGCATCCTTGGCGCCAAGACACATTAGCACAGGCACAGACCAAGCGGAAGAAATGTGAATGATAGGAGAACAGCTAGCCAGACGAGTCAGGTCTTCTGGTTTGGTGGGGCAGAAACCACAGTCGAAGGTCCATTCGCGGCACAACTTCTCAGGGTGTTTCGGATCCACACGCGTCTCGTCCACTCCGATACCCGCCTCCGTCCAGCACCAATCGGGGATGTCCGACGTGCTCAGCATGCTCACAAGATTAGTCACGGGGTTCCTGGCCACAACCGCACGATACATGGCCGCGTGTCGACCGGCCAAATGCAGCACCAGGAAGCCCCCATGGGAACCACCCAGCAGAACGCACGGCAAGTCAGGTGATGACAACTCACGAAGGGCCTCCTTAGTTGCCTAAAGAGTGCAAACAACGACAAACCCTACTTGGCGCCAGCATTTTTGCCCTATACACAATTGGGCAACTTACTTGAACACAATCCGCCACATCGTTGGTGCCGCATTTTCCGGGAAGTGAGTAGACGCTACAGTTGCCATAGCCAGTAGAACCCCGATAGTTGATGAGGAGGCAGGCGAAGCCGGCGCCGACGTAAGAAGCGACCTGGGGCAACCACTCGGCAGTGAACACGGAGTGGGGACCACCGTGGGGGATAACGACTAGACCCAAAGTGCTCTTCCAGGCGATACCGTCGCCATTGTGGTCTTGGGGGGAGTAAGTGAGTCGCGGTGAAAATCAAATACTGCCGGACTTTTTAGTAAGTGCTTTTTTGTGCTTACGAGGGCCAATGCTGAGCTGCAGATTCGCCGAATTTGAGGTAGGGTGGATTAGAATCGACTCAAAACGCTTCACGCCGAAACGCTCGTCCGCAATGTCAGCAGAATGACTAAGCACTCTCCAGGCAAGTCCTTTAACGAAAGGTACCACTGGTTGGTTTTCACCGGTTAAACTTAAATTAAGCCAGCTGCAAAGAAGAACAGTCGGTAATTCACCAGGAACAAGTACAATATTTGGACTTACCATGTTTTGCAAACGTTCTCGTGTGAAAGCTTCGCAACAGCTATAAAATTAGGGACTGAGGGCGAACTAACGGAGGCAACCAGTACGTCATCACAAAGGTCCATCAAACACACCGTTCCGTGACCCCCACCACCCTCAACTTGTTCCAAGGGTGATGGAAAACGAGTGATCCGATTTGGTGTGTCCCCGTCTACGTTAATGTGTACCAGAGCCGTTTCTGCGCCCCAGGTGGTCGACAAGACAACCGCCTTGCTGTCACTTGTCCAACACCTTTCACGGACGCCGGCACCAAGATAAAGACCTTGTTTGAGAATAATGAATTAGGTAATCAAGTGGATAAGGATGACGGGAGCATGGAAAGATGATGAGTCACGCACCCGGAAAGTCGGATTCGTCTTTCGGCAGAGCGACAAGGGGGACAATTACTTCTGGTGTCGGTTGAGATGGAGGCCAGGTGTGGGCGAGCATCTCAAAACACTGTCCATGTGGTCCACTTGCCGGTACCTCGAACCAAATCAACTTGGAGTTGTCGGGCGAAAAGCGCGGCCAACAGACCGCGTGGGCACCTCGACTGAGACACTGTAACTGGGAGGTTTCTGCAGCAAAAAATGCAACTCTACGCAACGCGTTGGGCAGCAGACTGGGCGTGGCAGCACTTATACTCACCAAAGTTCCAATACAGCAACTTTGACGCCCGTTGATGGCAGTAAATTAATCCGAGCGGGTAAGGGTTATTGTCGTAGGCGACAAAAATTATGCCGTTGCCGTCTGGGGTGTAGTGCGGTTCGTCAAACGACCAGTGAATTGACTCGGGAGCAAGCTTCTCCAGTTTGGATTGAACACAAACAACCTCTTCCGTTTCTACATCAAGTAGACAAATAACTGGTCTCGTGATGCCACTCAACCCTTCACCCCAACTTTCTTTCAAAACAAAAGGGGATTTTTCCGGAATGCTGGGCGTTTCCTGAACCAAAATCCCAGATACACCATTAACAACAAAATATGCAGAAGCTTATACATTGGATTTGTCAAAACCGAAACTAAACCGGGGTCCTACACACTATCAAGCAGATATAAGTGTTAAATTTGCTAGGTCATTTCACCACTTGGAAAGAAATCAGCTAAATGGGTATTTAGAGAGCGACTTTTTGAAGGAACAGCTCGACAAGAATAAGACTAGCACTGGTTGAAAAAACGGATGACGTGGTTACCAAAAGTCACTAGGTTCAGCACCTTCGTGACTTACCTCGTTATTAGCATTAACTTTAGGAGCCTCAGCCAAAAATATCAGCTTATTAGGATTTGTGGGGCAAAATCGACAGGCGGAAAAATGTTTTGATTGGTGGCTCGATCCATAGACTTTTCCATGAACAGCAGGTGTCGTCCCAGATTTCTCAGTGGGCAGTTTTATCGTTTTTAGCTTTCGGCCGGTTTTGGAACACAAGACGTGAACAAATGTTCCAGGAAGAGCAGCAGAAGCTGACATTGCTTCTGATTCACCAAGTGCTGCATTCGGAAGTTTGCATTCTACGAAAAGGACACGTCGACTGCCCGATTCAACATCCCACAAGACTTTGGCGCCGGAATCGTCTGTGTACGGGAAACATGCACCGGCAGATATGATTGACTCGTGGGAAGCATGCACCAATGTTGGCGTTTCATGAGAATCAGGAAACGAGATCAGATACTCTTGGCCAATAACTACACGATCCTTCCTGATTATATCGACATAATTCCACTTAGATGAAACGCATAACGTGTCTTTTGAGTACAGAACACCAAATCGTGGATGGACTCTAACAGAGACGGGTTTTGGAAAGCTTGAAAAGTGAGACAATATACGTGAAGAATATTTTGCCAGATGAGACCTTTTGATACTCATCTATGAAAAGGCGAAACAACAAATGACCTGAAGAAATCAAAAATCACTAGTTTGGTGTGGTGTGGCGTCGGATTAGGGCGCAGACATGTTGGGTCACCTGGCCTCAGCCAATCCCGTGTCTCTCTGCGATCC